GGCCCGGCGACCCCCGGTCTGTGTCTGTGTGCGGGTGCTGGACGAGGGGAGTGCATGGGGGTGTGTGCAGGCTGTGCACACATAGAAGTGTGAGGGGAAGGCAGTGTGAAGGAGGGAGGGGTGTGTGAGGGGTCTGTGCGCACGTATGTAAGAGGGTGCTGCACCCATCGCACACCTTTCCGAGGGTCTGTGTGTGTGTAGATACCTGTGTGTGCTGGGAGAAGGTGCGTGCGTGTGTGTGTTCGTTGCCTGTGTGTGTACGTGTGTGCACAGTGGGATGGGTGAGCCACCCCGAGTGTCTGAGCACCCCTGTGCGCAATGGGAGAAGTGAGGGCATTACTCGTGTCTGTATGGGAGCCCCCACACACCAGCGGGAGTGTGCCCGGTGCCTAAGGTGTGTGTGCGCCCTGGGGTGCCTGTGGAGGACGTGTGTCCATCACCTGGAGCAGTAACCATGCACATGCATGTGCAAAGCCATGTGCACTGTCACAGGGGCTGAGCGCCTCCAGTGTGTGCACTCACGTGTGTGTTTGCTCTAATAAATTCCCTGTTTATGTCCGTGGGGAGCTTGGGCGTGTGTGTTTCATGTGTTCACCTGTTGGTGCGTGCAATCTCTCTTGGGAGGGGTAGGAGGGGAAGGTGTGTGCACACGTGCTTTTTTGGGGGAAGTGGGCGTGTGTGCTCCATATGCAGGTGCAAAGGAGTGTTTGGGACAAGCTCCAAGTGCTGAACCCTGGGCTCCATCCTCGAGGGCTGGAGTATCACAGCAGCATTACCTGTGACCCTGAGCCTTTGAAGGGATCTTTGTGGCAGGTGCTGTGGGTACCTGGCCCCTGGCTGAAGGTACTGTAATGTGGCCTGGATGCCCAAAGAGGCTTCCTGGCACAGGTAGAACAAGGCCATGTATCTCTGTCACTGGAGTGTCTTAGTGGCCCTGGCTTGCCCTGTGTCCCTGCAGTGGGGTGAACTGTGGCACCAGGGTATCATCAAGTGTGTCTCCAGATGTCAGACAAGGATGTAAGATGAGGTGAGAGCACAGCACCTCTCTGCCTTGGGTGCTGCCTGCTGGCAGCATCCCCAGATTGTTTCCTTACTCTCCCTCCACCTGCCAGCTGCCAGATTTCCCTGACTCCTTTCTCTATGGATTAAACTTTTCCAGGAGTCAAAGGGCATTTTTTGGCCAGGGCAGCTGCAGGGTTAATGTGGATGCCTGGGGAGCAGCATTACCCCACAACACTGGGACACAAGGGACAGTGGCTTTGGTCCCATCCCACAGCCAGAGCAGTTTGTTGTTGAGACTTCCTACTGCTGCATTGAGCTTTGGTGGCATGGGATGACAGGAGACTGTGTGGCAAGGGCTGGTGGCTCTGTCCCCTCCATGGCCACCTGTGTGCTGCAGGGGCCAGGGGCAGCCAGCATGAGCCAAGTCCTCCCTTTTCCTCCAAGAACCCTGAGGAAAAACAGCTGCTGGCCATGCTGGTGGCAGGAGCTGACTGCTCTCAGGCTCCATGGCCCAGCTCTGTCCCCTTCACCTCTTCTCTCTATGGGGAAAAGCTGCTGCTTCTGTGCTCTCCAGTTTCCCTATGAACATCTTGTGAGAAACTACCCTGTGTCCTGCCATGGCTCTGATGACTCTTGGGGCTCCTTAAACTCCTGGCACCTCAGCAGCATTTGACACAGTGCACCATGCTCACCAGGGAGGCTCTCCTGGAAAAACCAGACCGTTCCCTGGGAGCACAGGGCAGCTCCCGACCCCGCAGGGCCCCCAGGCGCTGTTTATCTTTGCACAGGAGATAAATTAGCTGTCGGCCATCCTATTTCAGGGCTGGACAGCTGTAGCTTGCACTGGCCCATCCCATCCTGCTGTGGCAGAGGCAGGGACCTCCCCGTGCTTGACAGCTCTTCTGTGCGCTAGTCGGTGTGGCTGAATTGCCACTGAGGAGACCTGGCTCTGTTTCAGAGAGATCCACAGGGCCAGATGACCCTCAGGACTCATTGCACAGGATGATGCTACATGGCTCCAGCTTTCCCCTCCCATTGCTGCTGCCTTGCATCCCAGCGTGCTTCACCCTCTGCTTTGGGCTGTGCCTTATCCCCTGCACAATGAAAATTGCGCTGGGTGGGGTGTGACAGATGTGGTGACTTCTCCATGGCCCAACAGGAACCCAAGTGTTTGGGGAAGCTCCCCTTCTGCAAGGCAGAGGGGTAGGGGTGCTTGGGTCAGTTTAGCACCCAGGCCAGCTAGTGGCAACACCAAGGTCTCCAGGGGGTACAGCATGTCCCATTGCCTTGGGCATGGCCACCAAGGGACCTGTCCTACTCAGCTCCTCTCTAGAATGTCCACGGTGATAGCAGCAGCTCTGCACATGTGTCATGAAGTATGTCTGTGCTCAGGCTGTCTTTGGGGCAGGCAAGTAGGACCATGTCCCCTTTGCCCCTCTGCTCAGCATTTTGCACCGATGGGCTCTGGTGACACTCCCAGCTGGAGACAAATTCCCCAGACGGCTATTGACAGCTGTGGAGGCACAGATAGATAGTGGAGGTATAGACGGGCACAGCAGACGGTGGAGCAGAGTGAGAGATACTTGGAGCAGAGAGATACCGCAGGAGGAATTGAGAGATAGATCCTGTGGGCTGATCAATACCCACTGCATGTGGAGGGACAGCAAGATAAAGCAAGTTGCAGGGGGAAGGTGTTAGGAGGGCAGCGATCTGCATTTGTCCCGGTGACAGCTCTGGGGAGATGCCACTCACGGTTGCTTCAGCTGAGACTGGGGAAGAGCCAGATCAGGGTTGTAGGTGCCTGTAGCTGACTCTCCTTGCCCATCTCCAGCCACTCCAGAAAGGCACAAGCCCTTTGAGGTGCCCTGGGGTCCCATCTGGCCTCTGGACACCAGAGGGTGCATATTTCCTGTGTGTCCTGGTCACACCTTCTGACTCTCCAAGGAGTACCTGCTGTCTGTGGGCATTTTGAAGGATGCTGTGTGCCTGGGCAGCCAAGGGGGAAAGGGGCAAATCCTGGCCCTGGCACAGGGGCTGTGCTGTAGCTGGGTGATGGCAGATGAGCTTCCAACCTGTGCCTCAGTTTCTCCATGAGAACCAAATGATGGGTCAGGCCAGCATGGATTTGGGCACGGATGACGAGGCACGGGAAGAAGAGGCGAAGGCACCAACAGCCTGCAGAACTTGCTGTGTTCAGAACTCATCTCTTCTCTGCTGGTCATTGGAGACACTTACCTGATTAGGAGGTTGCAGCCACCAAAGGGATGCTTTCTGTGACCCTTTAATGAATGCCTGGCACTCAGTGCTCCTGCTGGGATGGGGACAACCCCTCCTGGTGCAGCAGAGTTGCCAGGGCTCCTGGGTCTAAGCCCAGCTCCACTCTGCTGGCATTTTCCTGAGCCACCTCATGCTGAATGGTTTCTCTGTGTGTCGTGGTTTTTTTCTTCATGCCAGCTGAGCTGGGAATGCTGAGGAAGGAACCCCCAGAACAGCCTTTTGCATGGACAGGGCACCTTTTGCTGGCCCTGCAGCCAGACTGGGGGGGATCCCCCGCCCAGGATGGAGTTATTGACATGGGTGCTACAGAAAACACTGCTGAGATTGTTCACACTAATGTTATTTAGCAGCAATATTTCCGTAATAAAAGAAATCAATGGGCAAGAGAAAAGACCTGTCCAGAGCTTTGATTTTCTTATTTTAATGGCATACTTATTTACTCCCACCAGCGTGCCCATCGGATTTTCATTACGCGGCCTTCGCTGTAAGTGGAGCGGTATTGATACGAGCTGCTGAGTTAGCGCCTTGCCGTGCAGGCCAGCTCAGATGGGATTGCTCATGTTCCCCAACAGGGCTCTGCCAAACCCCAGGGAACAGACTTGGTGTGGGGCCAGGGAGGCCTGGTAGCCCACAGGAACACACGTATGTGCGCATACAGACACACACACACACACACACACACACACACACACACAGGCATGGCCTGCCTGCCCGTGAGCACACAGCAGTGCACACCTGCTGCCACGTGCACTGCAGGCTGTGCACACGCACAGGTGTGACACACTTGTGTCACCTGCATGGGCACACACACACACACAGAGGAACAGAACTCTTCTGATTATACCCATGCACATGTCCTGCGCACACGTGCCCCAGCATTCACACACCTGCAGTTGCTCTGTATGGACAGATACCTGACTGTTCTACCCATTTACAAAAATGCGCCAGCCCCACCTGTCATACCCACACCCACCTGAAAACTATTCTATCTAAATGCACACACGACCTGTGCACACACACACACACACACACACACACACACACACAGACACACACGTGATGTGTCTGACAGCATGTGTGCGCACCTGCATGTGAGTGCAAACCTCTCAAAACCACCTGCTATACGTGGGTCCAACCATCCTTGGGGGGCCACAGACTCAGCACTGCCACTGTCCCTCAAAAGGATGGAGCCCCCTGAGCTCCAAGACTGCCCATGGAAGCAGGGACCTGGCACCAGCCCAGGCTTTGGTCATCAGTGACTGCAGTGGTGAGAGGAGTAACAGCACCATCTTCTGCCAATCCCCGGCAGCTCAGACTGAGCCGATCCTGTCCAGCTCGGTACCCCAGCTGCCAGGACTTCGAGGGGGATGATACCACCTTCCCTGGGGACACCCAGATGTCAGCAGGACTGCTGCTGAGGCTGGAGCTGGCCTTCACCATGGCAGGGCTCAGCACACTCCAGAGACTCTTCCAGAGACCCAAGTATGTGGGATGAACAACTTTATTACTGGTATCTCTTTTCAGGTAGCAAATTGAGAACTAGCCCGTGTGCAGGGCTGCTGGTCAGCAGAACAGGGACAGTCTGGGGAGCAAGAGGATCAACATGCTACAGGCCAGGGTGGCCAGGGACACACTCGTGTGTTTGGCAGCAGAATGGAGGTGAAAGCCCTCCACCAAGCAGTGAGCTCACACGGGTCTGACCACAGGGGTGCAAGCAGGGTGCACAGCTGGGTTTGGTTGGAGGATTACAGCACTCTCCTGGCAGCCGGGATCCCATGCCGGGAGCCGAGCAGAGTGGCAGTCCCCAGGGGGTCTCACAGCTGGGGGAAGCATTTTGAGGGATGAGATCCCATCCTGAGCTAGTACAGACATTTGGGCACTCGAGGACACTAGGTATGTGCATAGCCAAGAGGCCACGCAGAACGGGGTCTCCATTAAGGCGACAGACGGTGGGTTTCCCCCTTGGGGGGCACTGCCGGGAGAGGACTTTGGGGAAGTGGCCCTCTTCCAGCCCCAGCCATCCCCAAGGGCAGATGACACACAGGGGAGCAGGGGGCCCTCCAGCACAGAAGCTGAGCATCCCCTCACTGCCAGGGCATCTCAACGCTGATCCTGCCCCGTGCCAGGGTGACAATGTGTGCTGCCAACCCACATCAGCAGGGATGGAGCCACAGGAGATGCTGCCAGCTGGACACAGCACTTTGCGCTGCCCGCAGTCCCGGCAGGCTGCCAGAGACATGGGGGACTTAGCGGCCAACCTCTGCAATGGGTGCTCTGGTCTGGTCTACCCTGTGCACCCTGCCCCAAGGGCAGCATAATTCCCCTGATGTCTCAGGAGCTGAGTAAACCTTTTGGGCCCAGGGACAATCAGCTCCACCTTCTCTCCCGCTGCATGCTGAGGGCACACAGGGATGTTTGTACACTGCAAGACCACTCCAGCCCTGAGGGATGGAAAAGCAGGACGTGACTCTGATAGAAAGGAGGGACAGGCAGGTAGTAAAGAGAACTGATGTTCTGTGTTGCTGTGACTGCCGAGGTCCCTCAGTCCTGGCACCCTGTTGGCCTGTGGGGAAAGGACAGAACAATCTGGGGAAGGCACAGGGGATCTCCTGCTGCCTCTGCTAGAACCTGGGCTTGGGGAGGAAAACTGCTGGGAGGAAAGAAGCCAACTGGGTTCAGCAGGGTGCCCTGGTGAGACGGGCTCAGCACCCAAAGGTGCTGAAGAAGGCATTTGCTTCCAGGAGCAGGCCCTTTGCGTAGACACGCAGGGTGTAGAAGAGGGTGACGAAGTCCTGAGTGCTGAAGAGGGTGTCAGCCAGGGCAAAGGCGAGTGTGGAGGGGATGAAGCCCCGGCCATACTCCACCATCCAGGTGCCTGCACTCCACTGCACTGACGTGGCCTCTCCTGCCTGGTGCACGATGGTGTCCCCTGCCAAAACACACAACCAGCACGGCTCCCAGCGGCTGCCCCACAGCTCCCAGCGGCTGCCCCACATAACGCCCAAACGGGAGACACAGGATCAAGGCCTTCCAAGCCCAACCCAGCCTTGCTCCCTCTTCTCTTACTGCCACCCACTGAGATGCTGGGATGTGCCACTGGGAACCCAAACTGCTCTATCTTGAGCTCTTGGCTTCCGTCAGCTCAAAGGAAGGGCCTCTACAACAGCAAGTGGCTGTGCCCCAAAGACATGGATGCAGCCCACAGGTCACCATACTGCTGCATTTACCTGGATAGTAGATCTCACTTCTGGTGGTCCCCTCCTTCCATTGCCGGAATGTCCCCGAGATGACAGTGTCAGAAATATCTGCCCAGTAGCGACCTGTGGGAGGACAGACAACACGGGCTCAGTGTCTGCCTGCCAGGGACAGCACAGGAGTCCAGGTCTGAATCGTGAGCAGCGTAGTCAGGACGGCAGCCCTGGTGTCTCAATACACCAAGAAGTGCCAATAGCTCTGGTACCCCCACTGTCTGTGCAAAGAGCCATATACCACCAGCCAGGGCTGCTGGGTGTCCTTAAGCCCTGTCATTTCCAACTTCTTTGGCATTTTCTCCCTCCTGAAGCACTGGGAGATGAGAAGTCTGCCATTGCCTGCCAGCTGGATGCAGAGAGTCCTGGCCACACAGCATGTCACACACAGGGACCTGCAGATGCTGCAGGACACCATGGGGACTAGTCCCCCTTGCAGGGAATGTTTGGCCAGCATCATTCACCCCATACAAGTAGTGAAGCAGTGGGCTCCTGTGCTGGGTACAACATGGACTGAATGAGTGGAGTAGAAATAGCTGAGAGAACTCCCCTGCCCAGCAGCCCAATCCCCCTGCTTACCTGAGTGTCCCCCAGTGTCGACAGCTGTTCCAAAGAGCAGCACGTACTCGGTGAGCGAGGCATGGAGCAGGCACATGGAGCCCATCCACCCGCCTGCATTCACAAACACCCACTGCAGGTCCTCGTCTGGCAGGATGTGGCCTGGGTGCTTCTTCCGTAGCTCCACAATGATCTTGGAGAAAGCCAGCTCATGGTCCAGCCCTGCAGCACCCAGGGGCACTTTAAGTCCCTGGCACAGAAAAAGCTCAGCCGACCATACCCCCCGCCACCCCCGAATCCCCCGCACAGGGACAGCCACAGGGTCTCGGCACATCCTTGGAGAGGTCTGCCTAGGGAAGATATCTCCTCTCTCCAGCCCTCCAGCTCCTGTTGACCCAGATCCACCACCTCCCTGGATGGTGATGGAGGATAAGCAGGACCCAGTGCTCCAGTCCTACTGCCCATCCCAGGTGCTGGGCAATATGGGAGACCTAAGCAAGGTGACAGTGCCCCTGTGCTGGTGACATGCACCCCCGACCAAACTCCCTGTGCCCTAAGGGGACAGCCCTCTTCTGAAGCCCCAGGCCTGACCCACCTGGGGCTCCAGCTCCAACCAGGTTGGATGATGCCGCTGCCCTGGTCGCCGTCCCTCCTTTGCTCCGGAGTCCCATCTTCCACCCCGCTTCCCNCTGCGTGCCCCCCTTGGCGGCGCGGCCTGCGCCTGACGCCCGCTGCTCTCCCGGCCCGCAGAGCACCAGCACGTTCGGTACAACCCGCTGCGGGACGACTGGGTGCTGGTGTCGGCCCACCGGGTGAAGCGCCCTTGGCAGGGTCAGCTTGAGAAGCCACCCCCTGAGGATGTGCCCCGCTGGGACCCCAAGAACCCCCTCTGTCCCGGGGCCACCCGGGCCAACGGCGAGGTACCACCAGGGACACAGGGACTCGGGCTCCCCCTGCCACCCCCTCCTGCCTTCATACCATCTCTCGACCCGGCAGGTTAACCCAAAGTACGAGGGTACTTTCGTCTTTCCAAATGACTTCCCTGCACTCCAGCCTGATGCTCCAGAACCTGGTAACTCTGGGGAGTGGAGTAGGCTGCTGGGTACCCCCTGACTTGGGTCCTGGGGCTGCTGCAGGGTCCCCTGGGGAGGCTTAGGTTCTGCCTCAGCACCTTCTTCCTGCCCACTCTCTGTCCTTCCCCAGATGACAGTGATCACCCCTTGTTTCGAGCTGCCCCAGCCCGGGGTGTGTGGTAAGTACCTACATGGCTCCAGCGGGTTTGGGACACAATTTGTCAAGAACCTGTGGAATGGTGCTGGACTGGGCCTGCACCCCTCATGCAGTGCCTATTCTGTACACACCTGCTCACTTCTGGGGTCATTCTGGAAGTTTTGGCTTTGTCCCTTGTCCCACTGCACCCAGCAAAGCTGAGAGGGTCTCTGCAGACACCTGCAATCGCAGCTATGCATGTTTCCTCTACAGCAAGGTGATGTGTTTCCACCCCTGGTCAGACCTGACGCTGCCTCTCATGTCCCTGCCAGAGATCCGGGCTGTCGTCGATGCATGGACAGAGCTGGCGACTGAACTGGGTGCTTCCTACCCCTGGGTGCAGGTGTGGGGCTGGTGGGAGCTGCTTTTTTGTGGGTGAAGGTGGGAGGGTGGCACTGGGTACTGTAGCAGTACTTGGGGCTGGGAGCTTCCTAGTTGTGTGTGGGTCTCCTGCTTCATGCCCTTTGAGCCTTGGTGCCCTGCTGAACCTTTCCATGTGGGTTTCTTCCCTGCTGTGCTGAGGACACCACAACAGCCTGCAGTGGGGGCCCTGTGGCTGGAACCTGCTCGCTGCACCTCTTCCTCTTCTCCTAGATCTTTGAGAACAAGGGAGCGATGATGGGCTGCTCCAACCCGCACCCCCACTGCCAGGTGAGCCACCTGTGACCTGGCTAAACTACAAGTCCCTTCGGTAACCCTACAACAAACCCCGAAGGCAGGTGTGAATGGCAATCGCCCTGCCCTGGTCCCAAAACTTTTTGACAATGAGGGTACCCCTGTGCCTGTCCCGTCACCTTCCCTCTGGGGACTGTCCCTTGTGGCTGCCACATGCCAGACCTTCCACCTGGTGGCAGCAGGGACCTTCAGATGGGAAGCGTGACTAGGAATACCCCTGCAAGTGAGGAGTACAGGCACCTCAGTCCTGTGCCCCAATGTCCCTCCCAGGTGTGGGCCAGCAGCTTCCTCCCGAACGAGGCGCGCCTGGAGGACCGGACCCAGCGCCAGCACCTGAGCCAGCACGGTGTGCCCATGCTGCTGGAGTACGCTGAGCAGGAGGCTCGCCGAAAGGTGACAGCATGGATGTTGTCTGTATTCTCTCCCTGGGAGCTGTTTGTGCGCCGGGGTGGGCTCTCCAACCCCCAGGAGCTGGGCACTAGGGGTGCCCTGGGGCGTTGGGACTGTGTATGTCCCCATCAGGTGCTGCATGTAACACCCCACTGCAGTGCTACAGGCTGGAGACAGTCGCTGGACAGCGGCCAGGCAGAAAGGGATGTGGGGGCGCTGGTTGACAGCTAACTGAACATGAGCCAGCAGTGTGCCCAGGTGGCCAAGAAGGCCAGTGGTATCTTGGCCTGTATCAGGAGTGGTGTGGCCAGCAGGACCAGGGAAGTCATTCTTCCCCTGTACTTAGCACTGGGGAGGCTCCACCTTAAATAATGGGTCCAGTTCTGGGTCAGTTTAGGAAGGATATTGAGATACTCAGATTCCTCTGGACAGAAGCAGCAAGGCTGGTGAAAGATCTGGAACACAAGCTCTATGAAGAAGAGCTGGGGGTGTTTGACTTGGAAAAAAGGAGGCTTAGGGGAGACCTTATCACTCTCTACAGCTCCCTGAAAGGACATTTTAGTCAGCAGGGGGTCAGTCTCTTCTGACAAGCAGCCAGTGGCAGGACAAGACAACACAGTCTTAAGCTGTGCCAAGGGTAGTTTAGGTTAGACATTAGGAAAAAAAATCTTCACTGAAAGAGTGATTGGACAGTGGAATGGACTGCCCAGGGAGTGGTGGAGTCAAAAAGACTGAGTGTGGCACTCAGGGCTGTGGTTTAGTTGATAAGGTGGTAGGTCATAGGTTGGACTGTATGATCTCAGAAGTCTTTTCCAACCTAGCTGGTTCTGTGATTCTGTGCCCTGCAGGAGCGGCTGGTGGTGGAGAATGCAGACTGGCTGGTTGTGGTGCCATACTGGGCTACCTGGCCCTACCAGACCCTGCTGCTGCCCCGCCGCCACGTCTGTCGCCTCCAGGACCTCAGTGACAGTGAGAAGGACAGTGAGTAGTTCTGAGCTTTATTGTACCCCATCCCATGTCCTTTGGGCTTGGCCTTTGTTAGGAGGCAGCTGTCTGGTGCTGGAGGGCTTCTGTCCTTGGAGTGGGGGCTGCCAAGCTTAGCTGAGGAGGAGAATGACAACTCTGTTTTGGTAGGATGAGAACTAGTTGTTTGGGCACAGCCAGCACTGCTGGTGAGACTCCTGTCCTTTTGGGATGATGAAGCACATGGTGCTCCCTGCTTTAGTGGGGGGCTTCTCCTGCTGCACTGCTCAGACTCCCTGTGTGTGTGGGGAGGGGTGGGAATTACCAAGTGCATCCCTCCTGCTCGTCACTGGTGTCCACCTAGGGAGACCTGCTGTGAGTAACCCCACCGCATGGGCTCAGTAACCCCACCCCCTGCCAGGGGCAGCACAGGAGCCCAGGTCTGGCAAGCTGCTGGCCAGCTCAGGGTGTGAATCCCTGTCACTTTTCTGCAGGCCTGGCCTCCATCATGCAGAGGCTGCTCATCAAGTACGACAACCTCTTTGAAGTCTCCTTCCCCTACTCCATGGGCTGGCACGGTGAGTGGTGGTGGCTCCACAATCCTCTCATCCACATCCCCATCCCCCTGCTGCGGCTCATGCAGTGCCTCTACCCTCTGCAGGAGCCCCCACAGGCCCCTACCTGGAGGAGGAGTGCAGGCACTGGCAGCTCCATGCTCACTACTATCCCCCGCTGCTGCGCTCCGCCACCGTCCGCAAGTTCATGGTGGGATATGAGATGCTGGCGCAGGCACAGAGGGACCTCACCCCAGAGCAGGTGAGTGCAGCTCAGGGGGATTGGGGGAGCCAGAGGGCTGTGTGCCAGGCCTGTCCCTAGGACCAGCCTCTGGCTGTCCCTTGTGCTGTGCCCTGCAGGCAGCTGAGCGCCTGAGGAGCCTCCCTGAGGTACACTACAAGAAGAGGACCGAGGAGGTGTGATGGGGAGCAGCACAGCATCCAGGCCTCGGATGTGAGTGTGGGGGGGCTTCTCATTGCTTTCTACCACTACCTGAAAGGAGGTCATAGCCAAGTGGGGCTTGGTCTTTTCTCCCAGATAATTAATGATAGGACAAGAGGGTACAGCCTGAAGTTGTGCTAGTGGAGGTTAGATTGAATGTTGGAAAATATTTCTTCACCGAAGGGTTGGTCAGACATTGGAACAGGCTGCCCATGGAAGTGGTGGAATCACTGTCCCTGGAAGTATTCAAAAAAATGTGTAAATATGGCATTTAGGGACAAGGTTTAGGGGTGGGGTTGACAGTGCTGTGCTAACAGTGGAGGTTTAAGATTGTATCATTTGGTGTGCTCAGTATAGCCACGAGTCAGCTGGGAGTGGTGAGAACCAGGGCCTGGGAATTCATGTCAGCTGTGACCCCTCTGAACTCCCAGATTGAACCTTGTCATGGCTTGGCTGGTTTTTGGGACTGGTTTTGCCTGTCTGGGGACTCAGGGCCTAACCCTGTGACATCCTTGCGTAGGTGGTGTTCCTTGTCTCTTTCACCATCCCAGGCACTGTCTTCTGCCCCCATGGCATGCTCCTACCACCACTAAAGGGCTTACCCTCCTTATCAGTCCAGTCTCACTGGTGGGACTGGGAGTTCTTCTGCCCCGTGGAGGGGCACAACCCCCCTGGACAATAAAACCTGGAAGCAAAGTGCCTCTACCTGTGCTCTTGTGGTGCTCAGCCCTAGGTGGGAGGTATGGGGTCTCTGGTGAAGACCCCCAGCTGCTGGTGGGAGGTAACATGGGGCTCAGGGTTACTGAACTGAACTGGCAGCCCAATACCTGTTGCTGCTGTCCCTGCCTCTGCGCTGCCTCCTCTTTCTCCCTGGGGGGAGCTCTGAGTCTGTCTCTGAGTGCTGCAGGCTTGTGGAGGAGTGAGAAACAGAGGAGGAATGGAGGCTCCCAACTTGCATTCCTTATCCCAAGGCTTAGCCAGCTCCTGGGAGAGGGCAGAGCCCTGTCAGACTTGCTGCACAGAGGCTGCTGGCTGCTCAGCCCTGGAGCTGTTCATCTTCTCTGGCTGGGATTGCTGGGCAGCAGCCCTCATGTTGCCTGCTGCAGGTACAGGGGCTGCTGGGATGTAGCCAGGGGCTGGTTCATCACTCACCTGGGGGCTGCCAGCTCTCTTCGTGGTGCTGCTCCCACCTTCACTGTGCCCACCCATGGCGTGGGATGGTGCCAGCCTGGACCCTGGGCCGAGCTGAGGGATGTTCTATTCACATGTGTCTGTGCTGTCCTCCCTTTCCTTCCAGGAAAGCCCTGTGACTCTGCAGGGGTAGCTGATGGACAGTGCTGCCACCACAGCTGATGTGGGGGGATACAAAGCACTGTGCACCCTCACTTCCTCAGAGATAGCTGTTATTTGTCACTAATGAGCCATTTTCACAATTCTGTAATGAGACATCCTCTGTGTCAGGTCTGTGAGTGTGCTGCTGGGGGCTAGAAATACCTTTCAAGGTATTTCTCCTACCTCCAACCTCCAAGACAACAGCCATGTTCCCTGTGCTCCATCCATGTGTCATTCCCCCATCTGTATCCATGGACTGGGACAGATGGAAGGACCTCCTGACCTGTGATGCTGGATGCCCTCCTACATGCTGGTCCTATCTTTCTGCCTGATTTCCTCATCCCAGAGCCCACAAGGTGCCCTCACCTGCCTTCAGCGCTCCCCAGGTGCTCCGGGGCTGTGGGGAGGAGATGGTGGCTGACCCTTGAGCCTGGAGCCGTCATTGTACACAGCATCTCTCACCAGGGCATCGGGGCTGCCCAGCTGGGAATCTGACCTCTTGCAAAACTGATTTCTCCCCTCCTGGGGACAAGCAGAGTCCCTTTGGTCTCTGCCACCATCCCGATCGCCAGCCCTTTCCATTGCGAACAAGTGCCTGCGCTCCAACTTCCCTGCTTATTCTCCAGGGTCCTGGGAAAGCGGCAACAAATTGACTTTAAGTGTGGCAATCCGGCTCGGGGTAATTAGCGGCTGAAGCGGTTGTAACGAAGCTAGTCATCTCCCTGCACGCGCAGTTAGCTCTGATTTAATGGCCCGGCGGCTCCCAGCCCGGGCTGCCGCGCCTCGGCCCGCTGCCGTAAATGAAACTCGCAGTTAAGTCAAGCGGTATTAAACTTTACAGTCGCCGTCTTTAAAAACGGGACTCTCTCCAATAAATCAGGGCAAGTGGGATTGTAAATATCGAGGCAGGATCCATATTGCTTAATTAAACAGCGCCTAATGAACAGCCTGTTTGTTGTGCTGTGATTTAGGATGGAGGCTGGGGAAGCAGTGCGTGCTGAGGAGGGCTGGTGCCCGTGCCAGGGTGCCCTCTGCTGCAGGTACCACCTGCTCAAGTTTATCTGCTTAAAAAACTCAGAGATGGCCTGAGAATTAGTTTGTTGTTTTGTTTTTTTAATTAAAATGCCCCCCTGAAATCTGAAATGGGGTGAAAGCAGCAGTTAGAGGAGGAAGAGGAGGTGGTTCACACAGGTGTGAGAGCTTGACCCTGGTTATGCTGAGCTCCCCACTTCCTCACAACAGATCCAGCCTGCTATTGCCCTCATACTTTTAGATTGTGCATGGGGGGTGTGAAAGGCTGGAAGGGAGCAAGAGTCTTTCCCATGTCACAGGGAGACATCAGGGCGGTGCAAATGAGCTGCTGGGAATGGAAAGGCATTGCAGAGCTGTTGGAAATCCTTGGAGAAGTATTTCTGTGACTGGGTCATCCTTGTCCTGAGTCTTCATCTCCCAGCATGAGGGCAGAAATGTCCTCTGCAATTGCTGCCTTGAGCCGCTCTGGGAGAATGAACAGGGCAGGTGGTGGGGAGAGTGAGAGGAACTCAAGCATGGAATTAACGAATTTAAATCCACTGAGGTCCCATAGAGGTGTTTGTACCTTCTGTGGTGCATTAATTAATTAATTAATTAATGGGTCTGTGAGGGACTAGGAAAGGGACAGAATGCTGCTGCACAGGGCTGGCACAAGCTGTGCTCTTCAAGGAGCAAGGGATACACCCACTGGGGGATCCAGAGATGCTTGAGAGGGTGTGGCCAGGAATTTATTTTCATTTCTCTCCCATTTTCTGATGCCACTGAAAGAAATGGGTCAATCTGCCAAGGGATGTGACTTCCCCAGATCTTCTGGAGCTTTTTCTTTACTGAAATGAGCCAATGTCCTTGCCTGGGTTGTAGCAGTGACTATGTGCATCATTGTGCCTGCCCTGCATGTTTGGGAGACCCAGAGCACCCCCAGCTCTGACACTGACTTCTTCTGTGGCCATGAGTGAGCCCTGGGATGCCAGTCTGGTGGACAGAGACCATTTGGCACAAGCATTTCATGTCTGAGGGCAGCTGCTGGAGGCATGTTCATCACCTTTAGTTGAGTGTCCATGTCTTTGGCATCTGCCAGGACATGGCAGGACTGCAGAGAAGCTGCAGCTCCTGAGTCCTCCATCCTGCCCACCCCTTCTCCTCTGCCTTCCAGTGCAGGTGAGACAATAAAATATTGAGCAAAGGAAGTTAATCTGTGACCAGTGTGTTTTAATCTGAAAGAAAAGTTACGAGTTGTGGCCTGCTGGTTCTTGCTGCAGTTTTACTGCCCTTCCTGATACCAGGTTAATGGCTGTCATTTCATTCCAGTTTTACTATTGGATTTGCCCTTATTGTTGAGTTTCTCCTTGTCGGCTGCTTCCTGTGAGATGCTAAACCCTCTGGTGCCCTGAAGCAGGTGGGCTCCATGCAGTGGGAAGAATTTGTGTGCCAGGACAATGTAAATCAAAACCCAGACCCCTTTTAGATCATGTCTTAGCTGGCCATGCAAGAGCAGCTGGGACAAAGAGAACCCACACTGTGCATCTTCCCTGGGTTTAGCAGCTTTCTTGACAGGACTTCAGACCAGCAGGAAACAATTTTGGAGGTGTCTTGCCCATGTTTCAGACAGCTAGTGTGTTTTCCTCTGCTGATGGTCACTGAGTCCTTCCTGCAAGGCCTTTTCAGGTTCCTTGGGGACCATGAGTAGTAGGATGACTGCTGGTCCTAGGTGGACACAATTGGATGTCTGGATGCTGCCTAGCAAGCTCTGCATGTACTTCAGGCTGGCAGCCCCAAGGGTGGAATTTAGTTGGTTAATCATCTAATAATACAGGTAATTAAATACCATCACATTACAACATCCATGTGGTCAGTATGCACTGGCACCCCAAATTTCCTGTATGGCTGGTGTTGGGGAGGTACCTTGGGGCTTCAGCTCTTGGCAGTGAAGACCTGTCATTGCATGTGGTTTGAGCCTTTCCCATCCTGGGACCTCATCCCAGAGTCAGCAGCCTCTGTTTAGAGCAAGGGAAACAACAGGAGCATCCAGATTCCAGCTGGATTCAACCCAAACAAAACTATCTGGGGGTGAAGGGGAGCAGGTGTGGGTGGGAGAGCAGGGGACTGGTCTGGGATAAGGGCAGCCAGAGGGAAGGTAATCTTTGACTGCAAAAGGGGGATTATCCACCAGCTGTGCAGATGCTGGGAGAAGGCTGGAGCCCTTGCAGCATCCAGGATCTGGCATGGCTGAGATTGGGCACCCTGGCACATCCCTGGTGCTGGAGCCAGCTGTGAAAGCTCACAGACATCTGCCTGCCCCGTGGGGCGGGATCCCCCTTCATTCTGATGTTCCAGAGAAGAAATCTGTACATATTTGCTAATTATCATGTGTGATGCTGAGAAGTCTGCTACAAAGCCCCAGGGGCAGCGAGACATTGCAATGCCAGGATGGATCAGAGGTGGAAAATCATCCCCTGGGATGTGCCTGGGCATGAGGTGACTCCTGCCAGAAGCAGAGCCCTTGGGAGAGAGGAGGAAGCCGAGAGATACTAATTAGATGCTAATAAATGAGTAATTAGTAGATCTCCAGCCTGCTTGGTGCCCCTGGGGCTCCCTTGCCCAGCTCCAAGCCAAACCACCTGCTTCAGTGTACCTAAGGTGGTTTGAGC